TATCTGGAAATATTATGTTGATGCTTTAAGGAATTAAATTAGAAAGATATATAATTAGTCTGGCAATCACAGAAATATCTAATAAAAATATGTTTTATACTAAATTTTTGGTATCTGAATCTAAGAGAAGTTCCGCATTGTTTTATAAAAATATAAATAAGACATTGATGATTTCTCTACTTTCTGGTGAAAACAAGTAACAGATTATTTCTGTATCCTTGATCTTCGAAAAAAATCCTATAGCCAGGATGATATTCCCCGATTTTTCAGATACTGTATTTCAGATGCTGCCATTTAATAAACTACTTTATATTTATGGCTCAAACCAGGTGTTATTTTTTTGTCTCCAGGAATGTCTACAAAACATTTACTATTTTTGCTTTCACTTTTTTAAAAAAACAAATTATTCGTTTAATATTTTTCTTAAAAGAAAAAACTTTTTTCATCTTCTATGGCATTTATGTTTTTTGTCAGGAAATATTGTTAAACAATTTACATAAATAACATGAGCATTAAACACACACCATCTACATATTTTAAAACCCATTGGATTGAATTGGAAAAAGTCTTCCAAAAATTTTGCAAAACGAAGTAATGGGAATGTATTTTATTGTTCAAATAGACCACCACCAAAGCTAAAATCCTTTTTTTAATTATATAACAGGGTATGTTATATTATTAGTAGGAAGCATCCAATTAAAATAATCCTTTTGTTATTGCGTTTGAAATAAAACACATTGTCTTCACCAAAAGCTTTGAGCGGATATTTACTACTTAGACAGGAGGGCATAGAGAATCTAGTTCAAAATAATACTTGAAGTTGTGCTGTAAGAGAATAAGTGCCAAGAGCTATCAGCCTATTCTTGGTCAGCAGAAAATTATACCATCATGAAATTGGATGCCCCATTGGCTCATGCCTCTCCTTTCTTCCTTCGAGGTAATAGGGAACAAAAACGAATTTTATACTCCTAGCTATTGTACTACAAGTAAGATGGTTTCGTAATTTGAGGCAAACGCTCCTCTAACCACTGATATCATGGCTGATTTAAACCCATTTCACACCTAGGCTAGGAATGAGATAAATAAAAGGCTAAAGGCAACACTTTGGGAAATGATTAGGTGCAAAGTGGAGACAAGACCATCCCTTCCCCTTCCATAAAAATGAAGGTGAAAAGCCCCCAACTCGAACATTAGAGAATGCCCTCAGCATTTACTCCAAGTATTACTTCTGAAAGCTCCGCTTAGTCAAATCAACAAATTTGGGCCTTTCCCCCCCCCCTCCTGTCTTCGGGAAGATGGCCTGGCTATCATCAAGCTTTAGCCCCGTTGAGTTTTGCTAGTAATCAACTGTGGCTGCTGTATGGCTGCCTTTCGAGAGAGCCTTCGCTCAGTTTCAATCTTAAGTTGTGAAAGTAAAAGGCGACGCTTTTCCTTCTGAATTAGCGGGGCTCGTTTGCTCCAGGACCGGGGGTCCTTTCCAAGACCAGAGCCAGGCCGACCTACAGCTACACCAGCGAGCCCTGGGCGTCCTCGCCTCCCCCCCACGCCGGGATCCGCGCCAGCCCAACCTTTCGCGTCCCCTTCCCCGAGACCGACGCGGAGGAGGGCGGGTGGGGGGGGGCGCGGCGGCGCAGGCATTTCTTGCTTTTTCGGGTCTTTTCGAGGGACTCCACACAGAAGCGGTAAAGGCGAGCAGAGCCCTCACCCGCTTTTCTGCTCCCCAAAGCCGCTCTCGGGTGAACAGACGGGGCGACGGCGGCGGCGGCGGCTTCCCTGCAGGCTAGCGGGCAGTTGCCGGCGTCGGGAAAAAAAACGGCTCGGACGTTGCGGGCGCCAGAGAGCTCGCGGAGACGGCGGGCGGGCGGGCGGCGGCGGCGGCGGCGGCAGGAACGGGCAAAGGGGGGCGCGCGAAAGCGGCCGAGAAGCGAGAGGGCTTTGCAGGCGGGCGGGCGCGCGCGGACGTGCTTCGCTCGCTCGCTCGCAGAGTTTTGTTTACGTCTCGAGTCGCCCGGCTGGTAGAGTAACACAGAGGGCAGCTGACGCATGCGCAAGCAAGTCCGTTTGTGACGTAACGAGACCACGAGGAGACCCCCGCCTCTGGATTTGTGGCGGCTGGCGGGACGAGTGAGCAAGCGGGGTGGGCGAGAGGCAATACCGCCTGAGGCTACCCGTGTCTCTTGGGCTTTGGTTCCCAAATCCACATCTACATATATATAGCAAAAGCAGGTGAGAAAACTGGAACAAAGTAAAGGACCGGAATACTTCCAAGTTCTTCGGATGGTCACGCCGAGCAGCTGAAGTCCTGCGTTGCTCACCTCGGTCCGTGTTACTGGCCGGGGTGAGTCGGCCGGTCGGATTGCTCGATGTGCCTAATTGGCCCGCGGGGTGCTGTATACTAGTGGGAGGAGATGGCAGTCCTGGAGGTAAATGACTTCAAGCCTATCCAGAAGTTTGCTGCTGGGAAATGTATAGCACCGTTATAATCTATCGCTTTTTTTTTTTATTTCGTAGCTTTACATAAAATGCATCAATGAAATAGTTAATAGAAAAATAATAATAATAATAATAATAATAATAATAATAATAATAATAATAATAAAACACTTTTCCGTAGGAATCTGATGCAAGCTGAGTTAATGCCGCTCTTGTTTGTAGCATAGCATCAATTTAGGGAACCCTCATTGTGTACACGTGTTTAAATTTCTTGGAACTGCACACTCCCATAGACTGAGGGAGGCATGCAAAAGAAAAGCAGTTAGAACAGTGGTTCTCAACCTTTTTAATGCCGCGACCCCCAACCGGTCGTAAGTCGAGGACTAAACCGGTTGTAAGTCGAGGACTACCCAACCGGTCGTAAGTCGAGGACTTTCCCTGCCCGGGAGTGCCGCGCATGTGTGGTTCCGCCCCCTGCGCTGGCCGAGGCGTAGCTGGCAAGCGGCAGAGATGGAGCAGGCCGACCACCAGCTGGCCCAGCCCAAGGGAGGTAAGGCACCCGCCGGAAAAGGGAAAAAAATGGCGGACAGCCTTGCTTGGCGACCCCCGTGAAATGGTCGATCGACCCCAAATGGGGTCGCGACCCATAGGTTGAGAACCGCTGAGTTAGAAACATACAGCCCAGCAGGCAGCCTAGACAGTTTATTTCGTTTGGTGTTTGTGTAGTTGGGTTCTAGACTTTGGTTTTGGCCCAGTCTTCGGATCCTCTCTTCCACGGGAGGAATAGAGACCCCCTTCGACAAGGTCTCCCGTCCTCGGGACTGCCTCTTCCGTCCGAAAGAACCAGGACGGTTCATCATCATAAATTAACTCTCCCAGACCACCTATGAGTGAAGTCTCAGAACTGAAGATGTTTCAAACATCTTCAAAGAGGAAAAAGAAAGTCCAGTTGCCTCATGAAAAAGCACCTTTGGGACAACCATGACCTGGATGACTGAGAATATCCATAGACATTTCACTATGCCCCTAATGTATCTGGTGTGCAGCAACAGTTGGAGACAGGTGGTCCTTCAGATAACCAGGGTCTGTACCGTAAAGTTCTTTATAGGTTACGACTAGCACTTTGAATTGCACCTGGAAGCCAACTGCCAACCAATGCAGCTCCCACAGTTAATGGTGGCACATGGGCGTACCATGTGGCATCCAATACTGTGCATGCAACTGCATTGCAGTATGGGTGGGGGTTGAGGATTTAAATTATGATTTTTTAACCATGAACTTTAAATGTTGTATACCACCTAGAGCAGGGGCAGGCAAGCTTAGCTCTTTTATGACTCGTGGACTTCAACTCCCAGAATTCCTCAGCCAGCACAGCTGGCTGAGGAATTCTGGGAGTTGAAGTCCACGAGTCATAAAAGAGCCAAGATTGCCTACCCTTGACCTAGAGTCACTGTGTGTGGGTTGGGTTGTTATATATGTTTGATAAATACATTTTATACCAGATGTAGTTTTCGCAAGGTCTTCAAGGGCATCTTAAATTAGAATGCATTATAATAGTCCAGTCATAGGTGACCAGGGCATGAATACATGAAGAGCATCCCAGTTGAAGAGCTGCCACTGGTGCAGAAGATGAACCTGTGGAAAGACCTTCCTCACCACAACTGCTTTTTGAGAAGTGACTATGAGTACAGAAGGACCCCCAAGTTGTTCACCAGTCTAGAATAGGGAACTGCTACCCCATCCAAAGCCAACTATGGAAACGTACTCAAGTCTGGAGGTCAGGCAAACAGCTACATCCACTCAGTCTTGTCAGTACCTGAGCTGAAATTTGTTCTGCCCATCTAGACCCGAACAACCTCTAGACATTAGGTAAGCACATTGATAGCTTCACCTGGTGGATAAGCTGACCTATAATAGTTTGATATAGAATGATTGTAGGCTGGGCTTGAATGTATCACGTTTTTTATTTATCCTTATTTGGCCTTGTCTTATATTAATTTTAAACTCATGTTAACTGTCCAGAGTTGCAATTATGAGTTGGGCAGCCATATAAGTTGAATGAATGAAAAAAGAAATGGTATTATATATGTGAATTACTTTTGTATATGAGTGTTCTCATGCTTATATTTCTGCATAGCAGACACTATGATAGTATGATTAAAAAATCCAATCATCATCAAATTAATGAAAAGTGAGTCTAGATCTTGCTACTGCACACAAAATAATTCCTATTGCTAAGGTAATTGATTTTTTTCTCACTTCTTAAAATATTAAGACTGAAATCATGCTTATTTTTACTTGGGAATCACCATTGAATTCAGTAGCTTCTCCAATAAACATGGATAGGATCCATCTGCAGACAGGTCACTAGAATAGGAAACAGGTTAAAAAGCAATACCGCTGCAATTTCTAGGTGCCAAAGTACATACTGCTTTTAGTAAACAAAACTGATGCCTGGAAAATATTACCCTTATACTTATTTAAAACTCTCGACAAGTATATTGACCCGGGCAAGGGTGTTATTGGCTAGTTTTCCATTAGTGAGGACCAAAGCATGGTGTATGTGTGTGTGTGTATATCAAGAAAAGCAATGAAAATAGTGGCTATGTATAGCCTTTCCCATAAAATTCTGGCCACACAGTATTTCTCATTTCAGTCATTACTTATTCCAGTGTTGTTGAATAAAGGAAACATTACAACCTCACATTTAGCAAAGTATTCGGGTTTACAAGTTTCTAAATATAAAATGTATCACTAACTTTAAACTATTTCAATCTCAGATCATATGCAAAAACAATCAACAAAACTAAAAAAAATAAATAGAAGAAACACAGCTAAAAATATCACCACTATCAAGTTATTTCAACTCAGTTCTAATACATTGATCTGGTTTGAGCAAATATGCTGGTGCATTATACTCTTAGCATTTTTACTTTGTTTCTTTTTTTGTGGAAATAACTAAAACACAGAATTGCTATCCATCATTTCTTAACTTTTTATCCAAGGAGATATCTTAGGGTGTTCCTCTCTTAATAAGTCTGCTTATATTTTTGGTTTCTGAAGGCTAAAGTTCAGTTTGGATAAAATAATAGCCTAGATAAAAATTCCCAAGCTTAAACACTACTGCTGATAGGAGAAGCCAAAGCAGTCTCCAAGCCTTACCAAAACACCATTCCCACATGCTCTGAATTTAACCAGTCAAGCAATTACATTTTTCAGATGATTTCAACTTTAAAATAGTATTTAATGCTTCTAAAATTGCATTTCAGAGATAATCTGTATTTCTGGTTGTGAAACTACTTATACACAAAGGTACCATACACAAACAAATATAGTTCTTGGTAGAAAGATGTCTGAAAATCTGGTATATTCTATAGAGTCTCTCCAGAGATAAAAGGAAATCAACATTTACCTCTGCCCCTTTCACCGGCAGGAGCTTTTATTGGATAGGAATAACTTCTATTCCTAGAAGAGTGACTCAGGATCCAAATATTTTGAAAGGGTTTGTAAAGAGTCTCTGGCTTTATTTTTATTAGTAGGTTTAACTTCACGTAGGGTTAAACACTGGGATGTACAGATATTCTCTGACATAGCAAAATATTTTTTATTACGCTTAAATTCATTTGACTGAGTTCATCCCTGTTTGTATAAACAATCACTGAAACAGATTTAATGTTGATTATAGGAATAAAAACATTTACTTGGAAAATGGTATAAAAATTATACTGGTAACAGTTCCAGGCCTAGTTCAAATATGACTTTTATAGCCAAGTAAGTTATTAATAAAGTTTGCATTTGAGATGCAAGCATGTATTTATTTTAAATGTAAGTTTTAGCAATGAGGGATTTTCATTTTTTCCTTTTAACTACTTAATATTTTAGAAAAATAGTTTTTAAAGGATATTTCTATTTCATTGTATGCTGTCCATATCTATATGGTTATCAGGGCAATTGATTTATCTAAAAATTATCAATTACATATAAAATGATAGCCCTTTCTGCACCATGGGGCTTTTTTTTCATAATCATGGAAGGTATTGAATACCTTGTTATTTATGCTTTCTTTGTTCTCATTAGTATGCTACCAGGATTGTGTGAACCAATTCTCTATATTATTTAGAACAGTATAATGCTGCACAGTATTAAAAGAATAAAGAAATGTATTAATAAAAATGTAAGTAAAAAGATTCTTTAAAGACAAAATTATTGTTCCCCTTTATATACTACCATACCAATGCCAAAAAGGAATTAGGTTTCTTTAAAGGAAAATGAAAGACCAAGGTGAAGAATAACTGCTAACAATAATTTACACAAACATCATAACTTCCTGAAATAATGTGGAAAAATAAGAAATTGCAAAATTACTTTCTGAATTGTCATCTGAATTACATAGTATGGTCATAAGATTTTCTAGGCATTTCAATGGAATCTGCAGCAACCGAATTTATAGTAGCTCGTCTTGATGAAAGCTCAGCAGCTGGGATATGGCGTAATTCTTTACGGGAAAATTTTACTGGAGTTAGTCCTTGAAATTGGGTCACTGGGTTGCCTGTCTGTGAGTGACTAAATGCTTGTGAATGAGATTTTGTGAAATGTTGTACTTTCCCTGTTGGCTCCTCACGATTATTAGAGGTAGAAAGTACTGCTTCTATAGCTTCCTCCTCAAGTGTCTCGGTTGAAGTCTGCTGTGTTCCTATATCACCTACAGTGCAGTTTATTTCTTTTGATTTCTCTACAGTTTGGAGTCTCTGTCCTTGTTCTTCTAAAGAAATACTTGTTTCTTCTTGATTTAGCATCCCCTCATTAGAAGCATAACCTAAAATGGAATATTCAAAGCAACAATTAACTTAAATGCTTCAAGATAAATATTACAGTTTGTTAAGGTTACAAATTTTAGTTGATTAACTATTCACTGTTATTGTAAAATAACCTTATTGTGCAATTAAAAGTTAATAAAGAAGAATATGGTCATTTGGAATCTTGCATTACCCTTTCATTTATGGAAAGGACTCTAAACCTTTCTAAACCTGAAGCTTTCATTAGTGGAAATGGAATGTGTTCAATGTGTGTACTGTATGTGTGTCAGAGGGAGTCACACGATGTTCAGTTTTCAGATATTGTCCCTGCTATGCTGCCAGTACCTCTATGTCTCCAAAGGATACTCATTAGTGGGAATTTAAAATCAAAACCAGACTGCGTTTGCAAAAATTAAAAATCTCTTATATGAAATCTTGGATTGTTATCTGAAAACTAAAATTTAACTTTAGCCTTAAAAGGAAGTATACAGTACATTTATTATAAATAAAACAAATGTCTGTATCTACAAATATAACATTGGAATCTAATCCCACTCAGAATGAAATAGATGGTACTTAAATTTGATAAATGGATAGATGGATCAATAGATAATAGGTAGATAATAGATTGATAGATACGGTAGATCTTTATGGGAACATTTCTCTTAATGTGAATTATTAAGTTTTAGCTATGTTAGGATTTTAGCTCTAATAGTCATACATTTAGTTTGTTTTAAAGAGTGATACGTTGATTCCCCAACAGGATCCTTTAATTTCTTCTTTAACTCTCGGCTGGTTTTCTTATAAAAAAACAAATCTCGTTCCAACTGCTGAACTTTAGCTTCATAGACTTTAATAGTTTCTGCAGTATTTTCACCTTCTTGGTCTGAAAAAAGAAGGAAATTTGTTTTACTGTGGTACATTTTATTACGATGAACAAAAGTTACAAGTTTATTTCGCATCTTGTCTTCAACTTTGTGAAAAATAATATATGTATTTAAATATTTAAAAGAACCCCTATGATTTTGGACTCATGGAAAAAATGGATAACCATGAATAAGAAAACAAAACATAATTGAAGCACCTAACAAAAAGTAGTTCACTGGTGAGAATTAGAAAATGTATAGTCATCAATGTTTTAAGAAAGCAGAAAATTGCACCTATCATAAAATAATAATTTACTGACAGAAAGACAGCCATTAACAAGTTTGAAAACTACTTCTTTAAACAATAATGAGATCAAGTTGGGAGAGGCACTTCTTGATGAACTTGAGGATATTGTACCCAGATACAGATAGTCCTTGACTTAAAACCATTCATTTAATGATGCTTCAAAGTTACTATGGTGCTAAAAAAGTGACTTACGACCCATTCTCAAAGTTATGACCATCGCATCTCCCCCATAGTCACTGATCATAATTTAGGTGCCTAACAACTGACTTACATTTACGACAGTTGCAATGTCTTATGGTCATAATTTGTGACCTTCCCATCTGCATTCCAACAAGCAAAGTCAATGAGTGAAGCCAGATTTGCTTAACAACTGCATGATTCACTTAACCAAGTGACTCACTTAATGACTGAGGTAAAATGGTCATAAAATTGGGTCCAATCACATGTTGACCACATTGCTTAGCAATCAAAACTCCAGTCCCAATTGTGGTTATAAGTCAAAGACTACCTGTATGTTCCTCTATAAATTGTGGATACCAAGATCCTGTTCCTCTGGTAAAGGAGATCTTCAAAAATTTTCCCTTTGCCCCTGTAGTCTTAATTCTGACTCTGCTACCGAAGGTATGCTGATCCTATGAATAACTTTGACATGAGACTGGGAGAAATGGAGCTTTGAAACAAGTATCTTTCCCCTTTTTATCAGTTCTATCATCCAATAAATGAATTTCTGTTCACAGAAAAAGAAAGAAGTGAATCTTGACTTCTTATGGCTAGTTGTGTGTGGAATATGTTAAAAGAATATGAATAATCAAAGCATGTTTACCTCAGTTTATTACAACTGAATTTTAAAACGAGCTATTATAATGTATCTCGTAACTCTTTGTCTTTATTGCTTTAAATTGTAATTTGTGGGTAAGCTGTGGCAGTATATTTAAGATTTTATATTTTATATTAATGTTCAACTATTTAATCTTATAGATTGACTCTAATGAACATCATGCATTAGATGGGAGTATGGAAATGGTAAGTATACATTTAAAATTAATTTTGATATTTCAAATGTAAGGAGCAAACATAGCTCTGTGATACATATAGAAAAATTCAGATTCATAAGACCAAATTTTCATTCTCTTTGTGATTCTAATAAACATCTTGTCCTATTGGATGAGATCTATTTCCCACTTTATCTATCCAGACGCAAGATCCAATACCTTTACAGTGAAGTAGTATCAACTGAATCTTTTGTTCATGTTCTTTCTGTTGAAGGGTGAGGCGCCTGTCACATTGCAGCATGAGATGTTCAAGTGCCAATTCAAGTTCTCTTATTATATTTTCTTGTTCCATTGCCCTCATTCTCAGTTCTTCAGACTGCAGTTGCAATTTACGTTCACTCTCACGGAGTCGAACAACCTAAAAATAAGTAGCATTTTCTTTGTACAAGTCTGTTTGAATAGAAATTTAATGCATTGTTGCTTAGAATAATTTAAAAAAAAACAGTTTGCAAGCTTGAACGGAATTGTTAATAAAATCATCTAATTCAAATATGCTATGAAACATACATTCATAACAACATCAGAGGTTTCACTGCTCTCAGAGTTATAACACATAATTACTAGAAACAAAATATTTTTAGATGATTTATATATATGCACTCAGACAGAATGGCTACTTTTTAAATATGTATTATATTTTAAATTCAGAGAATATTAAAATGTAAATGTTGGAAAAAATCCTCTCTGTGTCTAGTGCAAAAATCCAAAAACAATCAGTTTTGTATTGTGTATTTTTATACAAATTGTATTTTTACACAACTATGTTCATGAATTATCAGAAGTACATGAGGTGGCCATTTTATAACCAATAAAAAGAATAGGCAGAATCTTCATTGCTGAATACTATTCTGACAAACCTTGTTAAAATACTTTAAAAGAATTGCACGCAGTTCAGTTGTGGACAATGATACCAACTTTCCCATCACACTGGCTTCACTTTGTGTAAGAATCTGTGAGGAGACTCTGATTGAGTTTTGATGGTTTTGTATACTTTCGTTCTTATAAGCAATGGCCGCTTCCAAGGTTTCAATTCCTTCCTCAAGCTGGAATAAAACATGCTCTTCCTAAGAAGAAACAAAGCAGGGATGTCAAATGTATTACAATAAATCTGAAGGCTATTAATGATAATAATTCATCACATAATTCCTGTGATTATGAACATACTGTAATACAATATTATATTGTATGGGTTCTTCAAAAGCCTATCATATGCTTCTTAGAGAAAGCAGAAACAGTATGTAAGTATCTATTGAAAAGGAGCCAATTCTCAAATTTCTCATTTATTGTGCTTGAAAAAAGTCTCTTTTGTCTATAATAGAATTAAGTATGCAAACTGAAATATTTCAAAATGAGAGATATTTCTTTTATTTATTTATTCCACTATTTTAAAATATTGTTCTCCAATTCTCCTCCTTCTGTGGCTTTTTGTGATTTTTGCTACTTTTTTAGTAGTAGACATTTCCTTTTTTTAAAAGTTATAATCCAGAAAGGGAAAGTAAAAAATAAAGGTGAGGGATTTTACCTCTTTCTCAATATCCTTAACTCTTTAGTCCCATTTGACACTCCCTAGTTCTATAATCACATGATCTTTCACAACTTTCCCTTATCTCTCTGTTTAATGAAACCGTATTCCTTAGTTTAACAAAACTACATCCTTTAACTTATAGGGGCTGCTGTTTTTTAGAAGCAGAGAAGAAAATACACAAACACATAAAATGGAAGAAGAGGGCACCTTTCCTGGAAGTACTTTTCACTGTTCAATTTCTTCTGAAAAAATTTAACAAAATACTATGATTCTTTAAAAAAAATTTTTTTACCAGCTCTACATATTAACAGTTTACTTACTAATTTGATTGCATTTGGATTTTTCTATTAACAGCAGCTAATAGTTATCAAATAGACAATGACTCACTTCTGGTGATAACACTCTGCCATTCTTTAATTTCTCATCCACGCTATTTCTTCTTTTCAACAGCTGATCCCTTTCTTTTTGCAAAGCCTGAACCTCTTCAAAAATCTTCCCTTGTTCATCAGTGGCACTCCTCTGAAGCTGCTTATTTTTGTCACAAAGTTCTTGATCTAACATACTTAGACGGGTAGATAATTTCAAACTATCTTCATTGAGAGCCTATGAAATCACAAATAAAGATACAATCCCTATAAGAACAATAATTTTGAAGAGAGATGTGGCACTTTAAAGGCTATCCCATTTAATATGGCATAAATCTTCATATAATATATTCTACTGGAAACAAACTCTTTAAAAACTTAGGATATCTTCATTCCTCCATGGCTAAACTAATACTATGTACAATGAATATAATGTAGGGTAGAAGCAGATAGTGTTTGGCCAGATTTTGTTTCTCTGAAATCATGACTAATGATTTCACCATACTTTCTTTAGCTTTTTTTGTGATTTCAATTTAACTGGTCATCTGGTAAGAACATTTACCATGCCATGCCTGAGCTTCTGTTCAGTTTAAAAGATAAGTGAAAGGGAAGCATGTGTCTTAGCAGTTTAACATTACAGATATGGGGGAAAGTGCAGAACTAAGGAGATGAAACAAGTTGAGAGTTCTTGTCAATGGACAAGAAGCAGACATGTCAAACTCGCGACGTCACGTGACGTTGCACGACGTATCGGAACTTTTTCCCCATTGCCAGCAATGGGGTGGGCGCGGTTTTGTGACTCATCTGCCCCGTGGGCCGGCAATTTGACACCCCTGACCTAAAGTGTCAGCATTCATCTTGAAAAAACATTTTCTTAGCAATTCCATTTGCATCATAGCACAGCAAGAAGTTAATTTACTATTTTGCCCAACAGAATAAGTGTAGGCATGCAACTGCATAGCCAATCGAAGAAAAGCAGAAGTAATGCTTGTACTAAATCTAAAATATATCATCTGTTTTGATAACAGAAAATAGTGTTAACAAAATACATTTTCTATGTTGGTTTAACATGTATTGGCTATTATGGGAGAAACAGCAAAACAATGTACAAAACATTCAGTAGTAGATGTATCTATTATTTCTCATTAAAAATCAGTTAATTTGAAATTGTTAAAACATTTTTATACTGAAGACACAGAGTGCAAATGCAGAGTGCTAATTTCTAACTTCAGTTCCTAGCATATCGCAGTATTAAAAAGTACCTGGCTGGATCTGAGTTTTTTAATTTCCAAATGGCTTTTCTCCTGCATCAGTGTTTCCTTCTTTAAAATAATCGCTTCTCTTCTTTTTAAATCTTCCTCCAAAGCAGCTAACTCTTGATGCTGGTGCAAAATCTTTTCTAGTTCTTCATCTAAGCATTTCTTTTTCTCTTCTAATTTCTACATTGAACAGAAATGATGCACAAATTTAGCTCTTCAATTATACTAAATTTAATACTAAGCTTTAATACTAAAACTAGTTTAAACAGTGCTTATTTTTCAATGGGTTAAAAGTTCCAACTGGCATTTATAG